TTTTTTTATTACACGTATCTATTATTTAAATTATTGATTTTATCAATCAAAAGTTATAAAAAAATTATTATGCAATGGAAATATCTCGTTAATTTAAATCAATATTACAAAACTGGATTAAAATAATTCTTAAGTGCCTACGTGTAAAACACGAATGCATAATAAATCACAAGGATGACATTATACTTAATGATGTTCGATTGCACGGCAGATCGAGCGTAAAAACAGAACCATTCTGGGGCAACAGGATGACACACCGATCGAACGGTCTCTCTCATTCGATCGCGTCCCCTCCCCCCTTTCCACCGCCGCCGAACATTTCTCGCTTTAAGAAACAAAAAGATTACGTCGGACCGTTAATACAGTTACGTATTATCTAGATTGCTACCCGTCGGCTTCCGCCGGCCAAGAAACAGCATGAGTAATTAATCAAAGACAATCAAACTCTGGGAGCGTCGGCTTAAACCGACTCCCAACGGGACGGGCCCCGCTATCCGTCATCTCTCCTCCGTTTAAAACCGGGAAAGAAACGGTGATGGCTGGTGTGCGCGCGTTGCAATTGCCGTTGCTCCACCCGGATGTGAATTGCACACGAAAAGCTCACCGCGGCGACGACTTTCTCCGGAAAGCGAGATCCACGCGCTTTTTAACGACTGGAATTAACGCCCATCTGTTAATTCGTGCGCGGGGACCATCGTCGCACGACATTGTATACGGCGCTTAATTCCAGGCTCGTTCGCCCACAGATTGTCTAATTATTCACCGACGCGGACAAATGGAGACCTCCGACGTCGACGGCGCATGACAGTTTTGTGTTAACACAATTAAAACGTTGTAAAACTTGACTCTCTCATCGGCTGGCGTAACTGTATAACCGCGGGCACTCTTTGCTTAACGAACTTGTAAGCATAAACACCTTAATTTATCAAACCTTAGCGCTCGTAAAAATTGAGACAACAAAGAATCGCAATGTGTATGGCGAAATAGCACAATAATAAATTAACGTTGCGAATTACATAACTTGAAATTAATTAAGCACAGTAATTTTTGATAAATTATAAAAGACTCGATAAAAGTGATAATTAGATGACAGACAGCACAAGCGTATTAATTAGCATTGATAGATACGCCAATATTTCTGATTCTGACAGAGGCCAATAATTTTATTTGCACGGCAAAATATCCGTAATCACGTCGATCAATTCTGCCGACTTTGTTCGGACTCGCGAAATACGCTGTCGAACACCGATCGGATTTGGCGGCGGTAGTACATGCGGCCGGGACTCATGTTCGCGGTGCGTATATGGCGTTCACGCACGATCGGAATTTTCCGATAGCCACGACCGGGCGGCGAGTTATGACCGCGGACGCGAGCCAGCCGCTTGGAAGTCGAGGAAAGGGCCGGGCAACCGACCGGACGGTTACCGGCGATCTCCAACATCCGTTCTGCGTTACAACGCCGCGGAAGATCACCGACGCGGAGTTTACTGGAAAACAATAGAACGTCGATGCCCGGGACCATCCGAATGGATGTATCATATCCCGACCTGCCCCGACCATTGACCACTCTCAGCCGCATATCGGCATGCGTCCCTCGCCAACGACATCAAGAATCGCCTCCTCTATCTCGGCGGGGAATGTCACGTGCCGCGGATACATCGCCACGAGAGCGAGGCCTCCGTTTTTACGCATGGCGACGTAAAGTAGGTTCCGGCCCAGCGATAAAGGTCTTTAACCCGACGTGACGTCGGATTCCCCGCAAATAACGACCTGAGGCGTTACGAAATCTCTTTTACTTATATCCGATTGTTTCAGATAAAAAAATGTATAATTGAATTTTTTGCGACACGTGGAATTTATAATAAAGTATATTGATAAGCCACAATTCTGAAAGAAAATGTGTCTCGATCGAGAAATCATTTCACAGATTCGCGTGTTATATTCGCTTAGGAGTGCCGAACTCCTGTACAATCCCGTTCCCCGCGTCTGTTATTAATGTTCGAGAGAGTATCGAGCCTCCGAGATATATCCCGCGTATACGAATGCTTTCACGCCGGTTACTTTTTTTAATAAGCCGCAATCGAATTTACGTAATCCGCGCGAGAGTACCTATACGCGCGTGAACGCTTTACAAAACGTTTGTCAGTTTATTTTCCTTACGGACCGCGTAACACCCATTAGGTGCGAAAGGATTAACGCGCGGTCGACCGGCTTTCCAACGGCGTAAATCACGGAATCCGGAAAGGCGATTTCGCGCGCGAGCGCGAGCGCGCGGAGAGAGATTTTCGCCGCTCGCGCGAGGTATCGGTCACGACGCGGACGCGGGACGAAGCGATACGCGCGAGGAGGCCAGATGCGTAAACGCGCGATAAAAATATCTCCTACCGAGCTACACACGCCGGTTAAACCACGCGATCACGACCACGGCGACGCGAGGCCCGCAGGCGAGGACTACGGGTTGCGACCCCAATCGTATTCGGATTCTACTTTGCGCAGGTGTGCGTGATCATTAATCCAGAAATGGAAGTGAACGTTGAGGAGTTACGAACACTCTAGCCGGTCGCGCGTCTAGGCGCCGCGTTTCTTTCCCGTTCGCCGCGTCGTTTTCGCCAGCGTCCGTCGATCGCTTCTTTCCTCTTTGTTTCTTTTATAGGTACGCGATAAAAAAGAGGCGTGGCGCGCACGTTACCTGCGTGAACGATCTCGCGGTTTGAACTATTAAGCGCGCTTGGCCATTGCTCGCGAGCTAAAGCGTGAGCGCCGAAGTGAGTTTTTTTTTGCTCGCGGTTCGCCTCTTTATCGAGGCGATTACAGCGTTTTAAGACTATTTCAGCGGACTTCTCTCTTTTTTTCTTTTTGCCTTCACTCGCACTGCAGCTCCGTCCGTTGGCAGCCGCCAACAAGACTACATACCGCTCCACGTTGCTTTTTAATTGGGGAATCGCCGGTGAACGCATCAACCTTGAGATCTCAAGGCGAATCGAACATCTGTCTACGCACCTTGGATTATTATTTCGTATCGCGTAATTACGCTGGAGCGCGAATCAGGGTAATTCCTCGAAAAGGTTCACGGTCGACGTCTTCTTTTCACTTCCCGTGTAGAACATCCCATACACGTGTCACATTTTTTTCCTTTCTACAGATACTTTATTGAGATTAAAATTGAGGATAATTCGACGAAAAAAAATTTCTGGTACTTAATATAACAATTTAGCTAAAAAATGATTAACTTACTACATCTGCTTTTGACTTCACTCGTCAAAATTCTCTTTAATTCTTATTTCGCATCTCAGTTTCTTATAAAATTGTCGATATATTCTAACTTTGTGAATAACATCATTTTTTTTGTCTGAACTTTAATGCTTATGAGTGAGAGTACGATATTTCCATACATATGGCAATTTCTGTATCCTATACAAGAAATAGAAAGTAATCGATGTATAACAAGTACTAGTCTATTTTACAAAATCGACAATAAATCGTAAATGTATCATATAATATATAAAATATAAAAATATTCACAACGCCAAATTTTAAATCCGAATTTTTATCCAAGAGAAATTTCGTAATACAAATACATTTAACTCTCATTATACGTATATCAATATTTAATGACGCGCAATGGTGATGTTTCAAGTCTATGAAGCATAATCCAACGTCTAAGGAAAACAAAACAAGCACCTACACCGCAAGCGATTGTGCAGAACGTTCTAACGCTCGGGACAAATTCGTAATTTATTCGCTGGTATTCGCGACTGCTACCTCGCGCAAGTGGTAAGAACGAGGAATTACCTATAGGTCGCTCCTTAAACGTATACGCATGCCGATACGTGGTATACGAGGCTGCCTATTGCGCGCGTGGATTTTCCATAGAATGGTCGATCGACGGTGGGCTCGTCCGCGCTATGCGGTATGCGGAAAAAAATTCCACATAATTAACCCATAAAGCAGCGCAATCGCCGGGGATCTCTCTATGGTTTATCCATAAGCGAGCGGCGAGGCCGCTCCGCGAATCGCGCGTGCTGCACATGCACCTGTGTGCTGGTGCGCCGCACCTGTACGCGGCCACGTAAAGGCGAAATTATACGGTTCGTTTCTGGCTTCGATGCTCTCTGGCTTCGAGGTAAAAAGCAAGGAAACGCTCATCCAGATCTAATCAGTTTGGATCTCTCGAAAAATATTGATATGCACTAAATTGTACTGCGTTACATTGAAAATAAATAATAAAAAATAAACGGAAAAATATATATGGTAAGAAATTTATGGGCTCCATGAAATTGCAGTGGATCGAACTGCATGGCCTAGTTTCTAATGATAAAGAAAAACTCGTTTTGTATTCGTGCTGAGTAAGCGTTGAAAGTGAATCGTATAAACACGGCTTAAGCCAGACAACGTGCGTGTGCGTAAGACACACATAGTCGGGCGAAGCGCGACAAGCTCGACGGGTAGTTTCGTTTGCGTGCAGTTCATAATATAGAATTCCGCTGTCTCGCGCGATGGTCCGTGGAATTTTAAACGCGTCTCTCTCGAAGTGCCGAGTAAGTGTACGCCTTCGCACTTAGTTATTAATCGAGCGAACGTTAATCAGAAGATATCGGACGTTAAGTCACGAGTGAATTCAAATCGGGAGAGCAGGAAACTACTTGAATAATCAAAACTCGAGATACTTCTATCCTGTTACGGGCACACGGAATTTTCATGGAACCAGCAATAAACCGTGAAACCGACTCTAAGCTTATCGAGGAACAGGAATTCATCGCCTACGATCTCTGACGCATCCTACACGCATATCGCGGAAATGGCAATCGGGACGCAAGTCCGTGAACAAGAGCGCTGTTTGAAGGCGCCCGTGCAAACGCAAGTCCGTGAACAAGTGCAAATGCATTCTTTCGAGCTGTGCCCCCGGGGCCTGGTGCCGCGATCGTGTTTACTGTCGCAAGATTCGATTTAAATTCCAGCCGTGCACGTTAGGCGGCCGCACATAAATTTAGTCTACTCACCGGTAGATACGCAGAGCGGCGGCGGCGGCGGCGTGGGCGTCGTCGAGGGCGACGGTACTCTTCTTGCGACGGCGTTAATTATCGCCGCCGGACTGTACCGTGGCACCTGCAACACCACGGGAGTTTTCACGGACAAGTCCACTGGTTCCAGCTGCACCGGCGGTCCCGCCGCCTGCAACAGAAGGAAACGTGCTCGTCAGTGGCTTGGCAACTATATACCATTAACAGAAGCGTTCCTACCCATTGGGCATAGTACTTGAGATCTATCAGGTGCCTTTCAGGCTGTACAAGAATGTTTGAAAGCCGCAAAGAGGAATTTGTTGATCTCGAAATGGAAAAGAAGCACTATTAAATTAACACTAGAACAGGAGATCAAAAAATGACCTGTTTGACATTTTTTAAAATAATTATTATTCATTTTTAAAACATCACAATTTCTGAAATTTCCTCTGACATTTATTGAAATATACAAATAATCAATTTTATAAATTTGTTTTCTCTTTTTTTCATCTTGAACCCTTCGGTAGAAATATAGGTTAATATTCGGTAGTTTCAGTGTTAATAAATATTTAATTGAAATAAAAATGTGGTATATCATTTAAATTATTTGTCTCAATTAAATTAATATAAATAAATATATAATGAACTTTATAAATCATGATAACATAACATAAATATTTGATTCGTAAAACTATAGAATAATGTTTTGCATTATTCTATAAGGCATTTTCTGATAATTTTCGAATGTAAAATCGTAGGAGTTCTCCTCAATTCCTAGCGAAATTGTTATAATATTTAATATAAAGGTGTGTAGTTCATCGCGATTGCATAAGGTCAACGGAGATCTTAAAGGATCTCTACCACGACTCGTTCGCGTAGGTGTCCCTCCTCTTCCTTCCAGATATTGGAGAAAAGGTGCGAAGCAATCTCGAGACTTCACATTACACCGTTCCGAGTTAATTCACATGTATTTCGAGGCCGTTGTTGCGCTGACGTAAATGAATATTAGTATAATACGACGTTTACATAACGTGGTAATTTTGCGGATGTTACCGCTGCGGCTATGGGGGACTCGATTTGACGAGACTTAGATGCGGCAAGTATAATTTCGTCACCCACGCAACATCGCCGATTGTCATACCCGAGATTGTCGAGTTAATGCCCCGATGCCCCGTAAATAATAATTTTTCGAAAGCCGCGATATTTCGATATAGAACAAACGGACAAAGGGTCTTAGCCTGTGTACGTGACTTACTCAGCCGCGGTTTCAATAGCCGATGCTGATAGCAGGCCAAAGTGCTTAAGCGCAATTAGCATAACTAGCGTCGGTAGTGACGTGGACTAATCACGACCAGTTCCCACGAGAGATTCGACTCGGCCTAAGCCTGTCGGTCGCTTGTATACCCCGCGCTATCTAATTTCCCTGTGACACACCTCCGATCGTCTAATGACCGACGGAATTAATAGTCAATCACGCGAAGGAACCAATTCTCATAGATTGCGATCAAATTGGATGCGAACGTCATTGGTATCGAAAACGAGACGATTGACAAAAACGGTACTTTCGACCATTAATATCTAAGTATAGAGCGGATGTGCTATGCAGCGTCGTGAGAGAAAGTGTTACCAATACAAATTATGTTAATTTGTATTTAGAATTTATTAAAGATTCAGTGTGCATTAATATGCATATTTATTACATTTATATAAAATAAATTAATAAAAAAAATCAAGAACAGTCGTACAAATTAATCTCTCGAAGTCTTATTAAAATATAAATGAAGGAAGAAAGAGACAAAAATAATGAGGATAAGAAAAGAGAAAAGAAAAAGAAAATAATGGTGAATTGCAATGATTGTATAAAACTGTTAGCATGAAACATAATATTTGTTTCGCTTCTCTGTCGCGAAAAATAACGCAGTTGTTACACACAATGCATTCCCCTACGTCTGTCACTAACGCTAACTAAATATTCGTACCGCAACGCGATACGACACGACGCCTAATTGCATCAAAAGAGGATCGTTTTGTAGCGGCCGTGATCGATCGCTGCGTTCCGCGTTCGATATCGGATTTCCGAAACAATCGTGCAGAAGATCGGATTTACAGCACACGGCGACCGGTTTCGCGCGCGATTGTTTCCCCGACAACAACCTCTCGATGAAACGTGGGAATGCTCGTGCACACATCGACAATGAAAAGCTCGGCCTCTCTTCTGTCCGCGCCGTATACCCGTCATAGGATCAAACAAATGGTTCGTGTCGTGAAACACGATACGACGCTAATAGCGCAACTTCGACCGGCCGGTGGTTACACTGGCGGTGAGTGTAACTGTAACACCACGGCGCGATTAACAAATTACACGTAACACATCCGCGCGCGCGCGCACACACACAAAACGACTCTCCGTGTTGTGCTACCCGCAATAATTTATAACGGAGTTTACCGGCGCATTTAGCAGAGCTATTCAAATCACTGTAAAACTGTGCGACCAATGAGAAAATATTAAAGAATGAAAGGCTTTACAATTCGTCCTCGCAGAAACGTATTGTAAAATTAGAATATAAATAACAGTCCCGCCTTTTATCGTTATCATAATTCATCATTTCTTATTTTCTGTATTTTCATGGACATCTAAATGAAATAATAAAATATTATATGAGAATAATGTACAACTATAATTTAAAAAAAATTGAAAACATTTTGATTTAACATAATTTTAATTCAAAATTTAGCTGCGTACACATATGTTTTTCGTATTGCATAGTTTGAAATTTGTTAAAAAATCAAACTTGTGTGAAAACATTCCAATGTTTCTGACTGAGCGTGGTTGCACAATTAAATAGTTTAATATTTCGAAATGGCGATGGCAAGCGTTTAACAAAATATATCGCGTTGCAAATGACGAAATAAAGTACGCCCGACAGTAAATACGAAACACGCCGCGCCGGTCGCTTCTTGTGACACGCCGAATTCGCGATTCCGTCGATTCCGAAGGCGCAGGCACTCGGCACGCAAAACACGGTCCCCGTCCCATCGCGGAGTTCTGGTTTCTGGAAACCGCGATACGTGCGCTTGTTATTCATGAGCCGCGAGATGAGCAGCGACGTCGGTAACTACAGCAGGACAAGCGTATTTTTCGGGCGGGCAGTAAAAGCCACGAGGACGCGGTTATATGCGTGTCACGCAGGTTGGAGACGCACGAAGCGGCGCGACGGCGGCCTGGTCGCCTTTACGACACACGGCGATTCTAATTAAATCTAATATACGCACGCGGCAATAATCCGTCGTAAACCGCGACATCCGTCGGGCAATAAATAATTATAAACTAATAAACTTTAACGAGAGGGAATGCGCGCCTGGCCGTCGCGTCGCGTCGCGCGGAAGGGCAGAGCCGGATCCCGTCGAGGCCGGGAGATACGCGCGAGATACGCCCGATGCGCGCGAAAAAGGACGAAACAAATATCGCGATCGGCTGCAGTCCCTCGATGGATGAAATCAAACGACGCATTAAATCGTCGATGACTAATGAAAGACCGGGTAAACTGTTCCTAATGATCCCAGTCTGCGCACCGCGAGAGAGACGTACATATATGTTTTATATATCGCATACGTTTACGCGCGGGCATGTACGTTTACGTCTAAATACGTACATGAGCGTAATATAGACGGGCATATTCGTACCTATGTATTACGTATGTTCTCACAGTAGCGGCCCGTAATGAGTGTAACGTTCATCAATCATTCGTTGAGCAATCCCCGACCCAGGCGAGTCCCGGCAGAATTAATTTAATTACTACAAATGTTTCGGGATAAAAATGGTCCGCGATCGATGCCGCGTCGTCGGCGACGCCACATCGTAACGCAACGTCTACGTAAATAGTTTCAAATCGATGCTTTTGTAGAATTTTCCGGCGAAGGCAGTAATAGTACAGCAAAAAAAAAGGGAGAGGCAGAAAATGTTAGATAATAACATAAAAATGATAATATTTTAATCGTAAAGAGATCCATTTGATTAAATATAAGCTTGGAGAAAGGCAAATAGCACCATTTAACGAATCAGACAAAATTAATACATCTTTCAAAAATTCTTGAATTATTACTCTTTGGATTTCTAAGATCATGTTATGTATTTTCAACTATAGTCGATTAGCGAACGTCCACCGCATTAGCTTTTCCACATTTCCACTTCTTACTACTCTTGTTCCCTTGGCAAATTTTTCTGCATTCTCTATTTTGTCACACCTTGTCGGACGTGTCTTTCAACGAATCAGATCAACAACGACGTTAATCTCTTTCCGGTGCCTGCACACTCTCGCGCCCCATTAGATCGTCGAGTAATAAATTCTTGGCGGACAGCGACGTTAATTACGTCGTTTCTGTAACGCGTAATGGCGAAGCTTATGCATTAAAGTATGACGTTACGAAAGGATTATTCTAAATGTTAACGTTTTCTTTGCCCGAGGTGGCGTTGGGTTCGCGAGCGCGCGGCGCGGCGCGGCACCTCGAATCTCTCGCTCCTCCTCGCGCGATCGGGGAATATGTACACATAGGCGGTCCCGGGCATATATGCGGCTGTGTCTTTGAAATTATCGGCAAGATCTACCGTGACCGAGGTAACTGCGGAGTTATTACGGAGATAGGCCCATTACATATTATACACGGTTTCTTTTTATCGCGAATAGCGCGCGGCGCGCCCCTCGCGCGCGTGAGATTAGGTGAAGTTGCCGATGTAGACATTATCCGGAGATTGGGTGTTTAGAGGGCGATTTTTGAATTAGTAGATTAGTCCGCGCCGCGCCGCGGCAGTATCGAGCGTGTCGCTCCACAACGCTCCCGACACCGTTTTTGCTCGTTCCCCGTTTCTTGCGTGGTGTTCCTATGCATCACGAGATTTCGCAACTCGCCGAGGGAGCGACAATTAAATCGTTACGCTCGCATCGAGCCAAGCGTGAACCAACCGCGAGGTTTTGCGCCCGTAAACCCGCAAATGCAACTCCCAAGCGATTCGTTAAGTTTTGTAAACAATAATGCTTCGCTAAAGATAATCCACTGTAACATCAGTTCCATCTTCGCTCGAATAAGACATCGCTTTTTTTTTATGAGAAAGTCATTTCTTCGCCATCTCCGCTCAGAATCCGTCTGAATTCGTTGGCTGGACCTCTCGGTTGT